TGTCCTATGAGCTTATTTACTCTGTACACAGACTGATCTACCGTGTCACCTTCCCGATCATCGAATATGATTTATAAATGGCAGTGATCAATGTGTCACATTGAATCCAGGATCACCTGTACAGGGCGACTCATCGCATGTGTTTCTGGTCCTAACATGGCTCGAAGATTGGGACGATGTGTGAATACATTGGTATGAGATGACTATTCCTACTAATAATAGAATAAAACCATGTGCACATTGATTATCCAGGAATAAGTCACCTCTCTGCATAGGATGACCATACACCAGCATTTCCTAGTCACAACACCTTTTCAAAGTATGCAAAATCTCCAGGCACCCCAGTCTAAAATGTCATAACCGTAAATGTAAAATAATGACGTGGGATCTCCAAAATCCATAGCAGACAGCGGCGTCACAAAGGGGACACCAAAATCACTAAAAGTCATTAGACCAGGAGCCCGACAGCGACATGAGAGGGGGGGAACCAGTGACATACTTGATCCTGCCTGGTCAATATCCCTTCCTCTTTTTGCCGATGTCCGTCACCAAGATGGCTGCCGGCAGCAAAGAACATCACGCACATATGTGATGATGTCACACGGCTGCCATAATGCATGCGCGACGGCTGCACCGGGTGACACCCACACTGGTGCCACAGCTGATACCAGGCCCTTATCTGAGATATACAATAAGTCTTGTATGGATTTTAACCACTTGAAGACTGGGGTGTTCAACTCTCTTCCTGTCCAGGCCATTTTTCAGTATTCAGCGCTGAGGTACTTTGACATTTATTCCGTCATGCAGCGCTGTACCAAAATTAATTTTATATCGTTTTTTTTGGGACAGATAGAGCTTTCTTTTGATTGTATTTAATCACCACTGGGGGTTTTATTTTTTACAATATCAAAAGAAAAGTACCAAATAGTTTGGAGTGGGAAACAGGTTTCCCTACTTTATGTTATAAAACATTTATTATTACCCATGTTTTGGTATAATATAAAAGGCGGGGTCACGTTGGGTAAATAGACATCAAACATGTCAAACCTTAAAATTGTGTGCGTCCGCTAAATCGCAAAAAAAGACCATACCTAAAATTGGCCATAGGCGATGCTTTAAAAGCTTTTACCGCTCATCAGTTTAGTGTTAACAGTGATTGAGCTCCCTTCAATTATTGCTCCCGCTCCGACATTCGCGGTGATATGTATCGTGTGACGCAATCATTGTCTTCGCATGTTGGCGCACCCGACGGATGTTTGCATGTGTGTGTATTATTATTATTCAGGATTTATATAGCGTCAACAGTTTGCGTAGCGCTTTACAATATAAGGAAGACATTACAATACAATTCAAGACAAGATAGTAAGGAGGGCCCTGCCCCTGAGGGCTTACAATCTAAAAGGGAGGGGCCAGTGATACAAGAGGTGGTAGCTATGTGGGGATGAATTGTTTGAGAATGTGATGGTTGAGTGGTTAGTTTAAGGTGGGATAGGCTTCTCTGAGACTCTAGTGAAGTCCTGGAGGCGAGCATGGGAAGAGTTGTATCCCATAAGCTGAGCTGGAAAGCAGTAGGTCTTTTGAAGAGCGGAGGGGACAGTTAGGGTGATACTTTGAGACAACGTTTGAGATATAGCCGGGGCCAGAGTTGTGGATGTAGGGGACTTTAACAATTTTCTTCATGTTTAAAAAAAAAACATTTATATGACTAAGTTTTTAATTATTTTTACACTTAACTTCATTGTTATCACATAGGGGATAACAAGCCCCCTATGTGACAGCACATTTACAGTGACTCCTCTTTATGGAGACATCAGGGGTCTTTAACCTAATGTATCCTAGGGAACAGAGATCTGCTTCACCAGCTTCTCTTCGGCTACAGAAGCCGGAGAATTGACAGCTGAAGGCGGGAGTGATGTAGTACACATCACTTCGGCATTCAGAGACCAGAGAAGAGATAAGCTCCGTTTACAAAGCCACCGTGCCGGTCCCGTGCCCACACCGGGCACATCGGAGCCCAGGATAGCCAGTGGCGGGGGGCGCACACATGCAGACAGCATACAAACAGTGCCGGTTCTTTAAATTACAATCGGTTTCCCACTCATGTGCGCGCAGAGCAGCACGCATGAGCGGAAGTGGGGAAATGATATTTTAAAACGCCCACACGCATCTAGGAAGCCGCTCTCTGGCCTTTTAGTTACAATGGCCAGGCGGATCGTGGTTAAGGGGGGACATCAAACAAAAACACACAAAAAAGTCTCATCCCCCTGCTCATTAGCACCCCGTCAGATCAAAATCTCCCCTTAACATCCCCTCCTCCCCTTAAGGAACCCCTCCTTTCACATCAGATTCACTTTCTCTCACACTAGGAAACCCTCTTTACATCAAAGTCCCCCTCTTTCACATCAAGAGCCCCCCCCCCTTCCACTCACATCAGGAGCCCTCTTTACATAAGCATGACGGTGTGTGAAAATGTTGAGGCACCCCTAAGGAAGCCAGAACACACCCCAGGATTGAGAAAGGCTGCTATAGTCCTGTTATGCATTTTGAACAGTTAAAGTGTACATGCATTGTGAGTTTTGTGTGAATTCACCATCCACGCTAACTGCTAACTGTGAGCTTCCCAGAGTATGTGTTTAGTAGCTGCACCAAGTCACATAGAGCCTGCTTTATTTCCTGGCTGAAGGACGCTCATTATCATATAGCTCTTTCCTGACTGTCCCTGGCCCGCCCCTTTTATTTATTGCATTTCAGTGCTTTCAGTCATGGAGGCTCAGCATCATGTGGGTGTTACCTAAGGTGGTCTGCCTGCAAATGCCATCTGCCTAGGAATGCTCACTCCTCCAGACTGACATCCACCCATGTAGGCACTTTCATTTTTGCATAACGACTCCCAAGAGCCCGCCCACTCGGGACTGAGGCCTCTTGAGAAGTGTAGTGAGGCGGTGCTGTAATTTAGGAAGTTAATACAGCAACCTGCTGGCCCTTCACAACAGCCATCATATGCCTGCATTGCATAGGTGACATCACTGGGACAAAAATAAGGCACATCATGAAAACCAAAAAACGTAATAATAAAACAAAATAATAATAATTAGCATGTTAATGGGGGGATGGTTTGGGTAAGGCAAAATATAAGCAGCTTAAACATCATCTTTAACCACTTGCTGTCAGGAGCAATTTCTTACTATATGCGCACACATGATAAAATCTGAATTTATGGCTAGAAGACCGCATCAGACCCCCAAAATTATATATTTTCTGAAAGCAGAGGCCCTGTAGAATAACAAAATGCTAGTTACAATTTTCTATATCGCACGGTATTTGCGCAAATGTTTAACAAACCGGTATTTTTTAGGATACAATACACTAAAATGAAATTTAGCGCACAGAAACAGAATATAATACCAAATTTTTTGGTAAAATATAAAAGACGGGGTCACGCCGAGTAAATACTGTAGATACCAAACAAGTCAAGCCTTAAAATTGCGTTCGCCCGTGAAACTGCAAAAAACAATACCCCAAATTTCCCATAGGCGATGTTTTAAAAGCTTTTACTGCTTAGTGCTAATAGTGATTGATGGCCCTAGAGTTATTGCTCTCACTTTAATTTTTGCACGTTGGCGCACCCGATGCGTGTTTACGTTGTACGTTCATGCACATGGGGGCGGGGGACTTTAAAAAAAAAAACTTTCCTGCATTTTTTTTATATGTTACTTTTATTTTTTACACTCAACTTTATTGCTATCACATAGGGGGCTAACATGCCACCTATGTAATAGCAAATCTAATGTGACAGGTCCTCTTATTGGAATCATCAGGGGTCTTTCAGAGCCCTAATGTCACCTAGGGACCCCAAAGAAGCAGATGAAGCAGAGATCTGCTTCACCAGCTTCTTCTCCTGGCTCTAAGAGGTGGCGAATGTGCACCGTGACATCGGAAGCAATGTAATACACATCACTTCCAGGTCCAGTGATAGGAGGAGAGATCAGCGGCTGGAAGCTTACTGATCTCCCTTCGATCTGTCAGGGGAGACCTGCTGTGCCGGTCCCAGGTCCGGAGGGGGAGAGGAAGAGCCCAGGGGAAGTCGGCGGCGGAGGGCACACATTCCGCAGTACCGTACAAGTGATCCAGCATCTGTATAGACGCCGGATTGCTTATATCTAAACAGCAATCGGGGTTGTTTAAACTTTTACCAACCGCTGGTATAACCGCTTCAGGACCAGGACGTATTTTGACGGTGGGCCGTCCTGAAGTGGTTAAACGTCTATGGTCAGTCCTTG